GCTCACACTTCAACTTCTGTCTTGTTGACCTTGCTGTTTTTCTAGGCTGTCTGCACTAGGTTGGAGGCCTGTCTCTCAGCTGTTGGTGTAGATACTCAGCAGTTAAGTCACCTCATTGCCATTCAGCCTTCTTTTTTCTTTGCTTTCAGCTTTACCCAGAAGAGTCTAAACTTCAGTCACCTCCTACTTTCTTTATTTAAACACATAGTGTCCATAGGGTTGAGTAAAAACCTCAGACTCATAATGCTCTTAGGTTTTAAATGTAAGGCTCTGTATGCTTTAAATGTAAATCTCTGTATGATTTGCTTATATTCTGAATATCTCATTAGCTGATGAACAGAAGGACCTGTCATACCCAGGAATATTAGGAGAAGGTTATCTTACATGGTGTTCGGTACTTGTCCCCAGTGCTCTTGTGACAAATGCAGTCCCTGTATTTTGATGCAAACCTGGGTGCCTGTGCTAAAAGAAAGGATTTTATAATACCAATGCAGACATGATCAGTTGTGAAAAATCATGTCTTTAATAGATGATTCTTGCTATAGCATGCTTGATTCTACATGGAGATTCCTAAATGACAAAAATATATTGTGACCAAACATGGCAGAAAAAGTGAAGGTACATTTACAATGTAATTTTAAAAAAATTGCCAGTCCACATTAGGTGGTTTAGTTGGTTGGCTCTTCTTTAAGTGCATTATAGATTTATAGGGAAGCATGTTTTTTCAAAATATGATTTTATACATAATAAGAGGTTGAATATGTTTTATTAATTGTAGTCTCTTAATGGTTTTGTTTATTGCCTTTGTATGCTCTGCACTGTTTTACTATGAAGATCGGGTGATTCAAGGGGGTCATGCTTCAGTCTGTTATTTCTAAGGCAACCATAATGAGTTCAAAGTATATTGTATTGATTTTTGAGAGTTCTGCCACAAGAGCTATCAAGAATTATTGGTCCTGTATTTTATTTTAGGATTTCACCTTCTTCATGTTTTGGAAGCATGTTTGATGGAAGTGCATGTGTCTCAGTAGTCAGGTGCATGGCCTAAGAAGGCATGCAGGAATTTATTAAATTGATGTTTGGTGTTAATAGCTCAGGGACTATATCATAATATGCCTATTTATTCTAGGTTTAGGTGAAGGCAGTTTTGACTATTGTTTTGTAGCTAATACATGTTGGTGCTGAGATTGAGACCCACACATCCTGCCTAGAAGCCTGCGTACTCCACCTCTCCTCTCTTCTGATTCTTAAGGTACTTTGCCTTCTTATGTTCCCTCTATCTTTTTGCTTAATCTCACCTGTATCTTTTGTCAGTAAGAACAGTGTGTATTGTTGAATCATTACTCACCTGGGACAGCCTCATCTCTTAGGAGCTGAATAACCATACGGAGAAAGTTGACCTCTGAGCATCTGTGAAATGGATATGATAATCTCTGCCCCCCACTGCCTTACTAGTAGATGTCCTGACCAGCTGGTTTTATTCAACTTTTGAAACCTAGGGTTGCCTGTCACCTTGTAGGCACTTCCTAAATGCTAATTTCAGTGCTCTTCTAGAAGCAGCACTTTGGTTTAGAGTTAGATGTCTCGTGGGATGGTCTGAATAGGACTTCTTGGGTATAGTCAGGACACTAAGATAAATATGGTGAAATAACCACTCGTTATAACCCTTACTCTTATTCTTTTTTTTAACACCTCCTTGGGGGAAAGACAAAACCTCTGTTCCTGGAGTGAAGAGAGAAGGATTTCTACTTCTTTGTGGATCGTACACATTGTGCAGTGTGGGATAAGAGCCGGTTGCACTTAAGTGAGTGGAAAGGAAGACTTGGTGAAAATTGAACTGAGGTTAACATGATGATTGTTATGATAAGAAAAAGAGTGGAAGGACCTCAGGAATGGAGAACAGTTTAGCAGGAGTTAAGGTATATGGACAGGAAATCATGAGTGAGTTTGTGGGACAATGAATCAGTCCATTTAATGAGCATTACCAGAGTGCAGTGAGAGATGGTGTGGGAAGGTAATGCAAATGAGATTGCAGTGGGTTCTACATACTTGGTAAGAGGGTTTGGATGTTATCTTTAAGAGGTTGTGATTGGCTAAATATTTTGAGCAAAGAAGAACCAGGATGAATTCTGCATTTTAGGTTGGATTTGGACCAGAAGTAACTAGAGGTGGGATAACGAGGTGAACTTTCAAGAGAATTGGCATATTCAGAATTAAAGAGTAGAAGAGAGAACTCTGGCCATATTGCAGAAGGTTAATTTTGGAGAATGTCCTAAGTCATGAAGTTCCTATGAAATGTACGTTAAAAAAAATTAGAAGGAGAAAGGGAAGTATAAAAATAGTACTGTTATACCTGTTGAAAATAGAAAGCTGTATGCATATCCTGGGCTGTAACACTTGTTATTTTTGGCTTTCTCTTAAGTATTATGGCATAGATAGTCTGCTGGCTAAACCTACATTCTGAAGATCTCAGGACAGGGAGTCTGAGCTTAGGACATCCGAGGAGGTGTCAGTGGCCTAGCTGCTGCCTCACTAACAGAGTTAAATAGAAGGTTTTGTGAAAGTGAACTGAATCCTCAGAGCCTAGTGCTTCAGAACTAGGAATAAGGAAAAGCATTTATAAAATTCTTTTTCATTTCTTTTCAAGGCCTACTTTCTATGTCTTTTTTTTCTTTTTTCAATGAAGATCTTGCAGCTTTGTATCTATTCCCATCTCCCCAGTTAAAGTATCCTTACCCCAGTGATTTCCAAATCTAATAGATACTTTTATGTCCTCTGCTTACTTGTCCATTCTGCCACTTGTGACATTATCTCCACGTCTCTGTTTCTGAAACTCTCTTCCTTTATATTCTATGGTGGGGTTTAGCAAACTGCAGCCCCGAAGGCCACATCTGGCCCTCCACCTGTTTCTGTAAGTAAAATTTGATTGGAACACAGCTACAGTTATTCATTTATATACTATCTATGACTGGGTTCACAGTGCACAGCAGAGTTAAGAAGTTGTGACATAGACCTATGGCCTGCAAATTATATATATATATATATATATATATATATAATTTATATAATAATTAAATAATTATTAATTTAAAAATTAAAATTATTACTCTTGGACCTTCACAGGAAAAAACTACTGATTCCTATTCTATAACCTCACTCTCTTCTGGTTTTCTTGCTCCTCTTTTCTTGCTGTGTTGAATCCTAGAGCTGGGAGCCAGTTCTAATGTAAGATTGTGAAAGCTCAGGTTAAAAATTGACTTGAAGTACTAGGGCTGGGATTGTGGCTCAGCAGTGGAGTGTTCCCCTAGCACGGGCGGGACCCAGGTTCGATTCTCAGCACCACATAAAAATAAAGGCATTGTGTTGTGTCCATCCACACCTAAAAAAAAAAAAAAAATGACTTGAAGTACTGAAGGAGTACTACTCTTTTCCTTGCCAGTTGGTTCAAGTAATAGTGCCTGATATTTATTCATTCATTCATATATATATATATATATATAAAACTAGGGCTGGGGTTGTGGTGGAGCACTTGCCTAGCAGATGTGAGGCACTGGGTTCAATCCTCAACACCACATAAAAATAAACAAATAAAATAAAGGTATTATGTCCTTCTGCAGCTAAAAAAAATTGAAAAAAAGAAAGAAAAAAGTATCATAGTAAATATAAAGATCATAAAAGGCACCTTGCTGGGGAGTTTCTTAGAATTATCTAATTTAATTTCCAGGACCAGTTCTGTTTTGCAGATGAAAATATTAAAGCAAAATTGGGCAGTGCTCTTGATCACACAATTAAGATAGCCCTGTGGCCCTTGCTCCTAACCACCACTCCAGCCTGCCTTCAGAGGACACCACTGTCTTAGAGCAAATATAGTATGTGGGACTGGGTCAGTTTTCCAAGGTTAGTTTGCAGTTTTGGAGTACAAAGTCACATTAGAAAACTAGAAATACAGGAGAAAAAGGGTTTTTCTCCTTTCCTTTCCTGAGTTTTAACTTTGTGATAATTTACAGTGGGTCTAGGATCTTTCTTTATTACTGGGTATGGCCCAGGGTGGGACCAGCTTGTGCACAGGAAGCTCATTGAGTCAGTATGTTGAACCTGTGCATCATCATCATGCCACACTGATTCTTCACCTTTGCAGGTGGGTGGCAGAAGCATTCTACATAGTGTTATGAATATGTGAAGAGCTCCAGGTATGTGTGGTGAGTGTGTGTCTCTGTGTGTGTGTGTGTGTGTGTGTGTGTGTGTGTGTGTGTGTGTGTGTGTGTGTGTGTG